GATTTGCATTAGAAATTTATAACAAGTCGCTCTCAGCCAGGACCATACTAAATTTAAGCTCTATCTCAAAGAATAACTGCATTATGGTCAATTTTGTGTTTGCTGAGGTAGCTGTGGCAGCCATCTTGAATCCAAATGGTTCCAAACATTAATCGGTTCTAAAGATACAACTGATGAATACTTGAGTTTTCAACAAATCCGACACCGACTTTCTAAGGTTTCTTCAGGGAGCTCTCCATTGTAGGTCATGTGACCTCACAAACGGAGTGAGCTGTTCTGTCAGGTGTTTTGTATGGGGAAAAATGGCATCTTCGTTTGCAAATTATGTTGCCTTGGTAACTCAAAACACCAATAAAAGTAACATTGCACACCACGGTGCTGAGCTGGTCGTTTTGATATAACATTTGTGGGGGTACACGTTGTGGTTCGGGCCGCATTAAAGTTGATGGAAGACTAAGCTATAAATAAATCAAGTAGAAAGTTCCTGGAGAAATTGGGATGGGGACTCCCAGGCTGCTGCCGATTTAAAATAGTGATTTGACAATACTATGTGTTGGGGTTTGCGCTCAGCTACCACTATACCAAATTTGAGCTGAATAGCACTGAAAATGGCTGCGTTATCGTAATTTTTCCTTTTTAGCTAAGGTGGCCATCTTGGATTTTTGATTTAGATTCATTATGTGGTAGGGAATGTTCTCAGCTATAACCTCACCAAATTTCAGTTATATATCTCAAAGAATGACTGAGTTATAGTCAATTTTGTGTTTGCTGAGGAAGCTGTGGCAGCCATCTTGAATCAAAATGGCTCCAAATGTTAAATCAGTTCTAGACATTTATCTGATGATCACTTTCTGTGAGTTTCAAACAAATCCAACAGTGAGATTCTGTTTTCTTCAGGGACATCTAGACTCTAAGTCATGTACTTAACAGCAACAGTTAGTGTGAGGCGTGGTCTCTCATTCATTTCCTATGGGGAAATATGTCATCTTTGTTAGCAAAATACATCGCCATGGTAACTCGAAACACCAATAAAAGTAATAGCACACATCACGACACCAAACGTTGCAGTTCGGGCCACATTAAAGTTTAAAGAAGAGTTTATACGATATATGTAAAGTTAAGAAACCCAAATTGGGTGGGTAATAATAGGTGGCTGCATATTCTATGCAGTCTCCAATAAAGTTAAGAAACCCTAAGTCATGTGGATAATAGTAGGTGGCTGCTATGCTACAGTACTGTAGAATCTGGCAGTCCCCAATAATGAAAAAAAAACAGCAGGTAGAAAGATCCAAATCTTTCAATCCTCATAAAGTTTCTACTGAAATTCAGAACAACTTTGGAAACTTTGGTGCACAATTTTCAAACTACCAACCAAACTGCACAAGATTGCCTTGTGATAAAATGAGCATGGCAACAGTTTTAACAGAATAAGGGGGAACTATTAGAAGGAGCCAGACTCTACAACTAAAAGTCAGGCTGGTACCACAAACATTTTAATGGTTGCCATCTGAGTAAATATGGAACGAACAAAATGTGGTGTTGCTTTAAGGTAAGAAGATCAGCATCAGTTGTCCATCCATTCGTCCATTATCTTTTACCCACTTCTTCCTTTTCTAGTCACTGAGGTCACTGTGCCCACATCCAGCATTCATTGTGCGAGAGGTGGAGGACACCGAGGACAGGTCGCAAGTCCGTCACAGGGACACATAGAGACAAACAACCTTTCACTGCCTCACTCACACCTAGGGGCAATTTAAAGTTACTAATCAACCTAACAATGCATCAGTTGTGATATTAAAAAACGTTTTGAATCCGTACATGAAAATTGCCTACATTAAAATGAAACGTTACTAACTGATTATCTAGTGTGTGTATACGTTTTGTCAAAATACATCCATCCATCTAGTTGTGATCAGGTCCAGAAGACACATGAAACCTGGACTGCCACCCCTCTCCAGCAACGCTCTCCAACTCCTCCCATGGAATCCCATGGTGTTTCCAGCCCAGAGTGGATATAAAATCCCTCCAGTAATTTATGGGTCTGCCCTGGGGTCTTATCCCATTGGGACATGACCAGAAAACCTCCAGGGGGAGGAGCCCAGGAGACATCCTAGTCAGATGAACAGAAGACCTCTTTGATGCAAATTAGCTGTGACATGTGTATGACCATGTGATGAAGTACTTCTCATCCACTTGTACCTGGGATTTTGTTCATTTCGTTTTCTAGTCCTCATGACCAAAAGTAAAGATTGAAATGTAGATGGACCAGTAAACCAAGAGCTTCATCTTTCAGCTCAGTTCTTTTATCACAACGGGCCAGAGTCTCATTACTGCAAACAAAATCCCAATCTATGAAGCCATCTCCTAATTTTATTATCATGTGTGAACAAAACACACAAATACTTGAACTCCTCAGCTTGAGACAAAGATTCATTCCCAACCCAGAGGAAGCTTAGCCTCAGACTTATGGCCCTTTTCCATCAGTAACGGTACAGCATAGTTTGACTCGACTTGGCACAGTTCCAAGGCTTTTCCACTAGTAACGGTTCATGGAACTGGTCCCTTTTTCAGTCCTTTCATCTCTGGGGTTCCAACCGTGCCAAACTGGCCCTAAACCATGATGTCAGAACACTGTCGGTCACTGATTGGTCGGGGGGTGGAGTCGCTGGTTGTTTGCGAAGTCTTCACAACAACCCGATTTGCAATAACTCGAACTCGAGGAGCGACTGGACCTATTTTTAAGATTTTGAAAACAATGATAACACCGTGGTCTAATGCTGAAGTACAGGCGTTTTCTTTGTGCTTGGTGCCTGACGACAAAATTCAGAGTGAGCTAGCTGGAGCTCCGCTGGTCCTCTCCACTGGAACCTCGACGCCCCCTCAAGCTGGGCAGGGCATCATCTCCCCGGCTCCGAGCTCCGCCGGTCAACACGGAAGATCCTCCATGTTCCTGCAGGCTCCGAGCTGAACCCGCCCACTAGAACCATTACTGACAGTATAATGGAAACACAACTCATACCGTGCCGAGTCACACCATGCTGTACCAGTACTAATGGTACTAATGGAAAAGAGGCATTAGAGATGTCACTCTGAAGGTTATGATCTGAAAACACCAACAGAACCACGTCGTCTGCAAAAAACAAAAATGAGACCCTGAAATTCCCAAATCTGACACCCTCTTCTGGGCTTGAGATCCTGTCCACAACCAGGATCAAAGTGGCAACCCTGAAGGAGTTCAACCAGCATGAGCTTGACTTTGTGTCAAAAATGCGGACATAGCTTTCACTTTCATGGACTGGAAACCTCTTCAATGTGACCCTGGTACAACATGCTCCCACAGACTGCCTTGAGGAACATGTTCATAAGCTTGGTCCAGTAACACATAGACTGGAATGACAAATTCCCATAACCTCCTTAACAACTCCACAAGTGTGAAGACCCGGTCCTCTGTTCCACAACCAGGGTAGTCAGGGTTGTGGAATATATAATCCTGAATTGTAAATGGAAAATGTGTTTTATCCAAATGTACAACTATGCCACATCACCTTCGAGCTCTTTGTCAAATTATGAAGAGTTGCTGAAAAATAAATACAGAATACCTTTTCAACAGATATTTATTTTATTAATGTTAATGATTTGATTTTACTAAATTATTAAGACAGCACATTTCTGCTTGCTTTATTCCTTTCTTTTATTGCCTTTACAAAGTATAAATCCAGAAACCACATCTGGTTCAGCAAATATGTTAGAATGAACTAGGTCCCATATCTGAGCTTCTCTCAGTCCAACTGATCCATAGCTGACTCTGGCTTTGCATAAATGAGAATGATGCAGTCTGTGTGGGTTTAGCTGTCAGCAGTCACAGCAAAAAGTCTGTCAGGAACCCATTTAGGCTGGCTCGTAACTGTATCTACCATATTGGAAAATATCCAGAATACTGCATGTTGATAAATGATGTTGCTTCATGTTGCTACATTTTTGGTGACATAAAAATCTCCTAAATCTCCTAGATTGCCATGAACACTATTGTTATTAAATAAAAGTTTTAGTGACTTTAAATGGGCAATGTTAACAGTAACTTGTAGCTTCAGAGAGAAACATCAGTAATGCAAAAGTTGTTTTTTTTTGGAAGCATCCATTCATTGTTTTTTGTTTTATTTTATCAGTTCCTTCCTGGCAGTATGTCCACGTGCTTTCAATGGCCATGTTGCAAGATGCTCATACACATGTAGCCATTTAAAACTACTTGAAGGAGTCCTCCAAAGGACAAATTTGCTGCATACACAAATAAATGCATATTCATGAAGTGTCAACAAAACCATATAAAATTATGTAAAAATACATTCCATAATAAATGCCTTTACACATGCTGCTCTTATGCATACACCACACATCATACCTGCCCACAAGTCTGCATAAGGACTGAGTGAAAGAAGTATACTGTGGTTGCACATGCGAGCCACCTCAGAATAAAAGATGGATAAAAGACTACAAGGCTGGTAATTTTGTATCTGAACCATTTCTCCTCATCCTAGGTTACACATAAGTGTTAAATTAATTTGGAAAAGATATAATTGCAGAAAAAAAGTTTAAATTTTAGTATCAGTTTAACAAAGATCGTAAGTCTTCATAAGCATAACATATTTATTGTGTAACTTTATGTGTTGTATCTTTTTTTTTTATTTTTTTTTTTTATTGGGGGTACGGGTTGATTTGTAATTTTGGGTTAAAACAGCACAAAGTTCAACACAAATTTCCCAAAGGGGACACAAAGTGTCATGTCATGTTGTATTTATTCTGTAGTATTTTATTGTATCACACTATACTGTATTGTAATGTAATATATTATCTTGTATTGTTTTTTTGTATATGTCATATTGTATTGTGTTTATTGTATTGTTGTATATCATTATGTGTCATATTGTATCATATTGTAATAATAAACTATGTTATATTATAAGGCACTGGCTGAGCTTGTATGAATAAAGAAGCATGTGTACCAGTTTCCTACAGTGTTGTTTTTCTTGACGTAGAGTGGCTACTTCATGTTTCAAAGCTCGGTTTTTCTCCTCCAGCAGTCGGAAGCGGTCTACATTGTAGGCTGTTGAGTGTCCTGCAGCTTGCTGAGATGAAACGTCATGTTTAGACTGAAAGACAAAAGAAGGAGAAAAATCACAAATGTTTTGTTGAATTATTACTATCATAAAGAATTACGCCAAAAGCCAAACCAAATCACCAACGTTACCATGCTAATGCACATGGTGACATTTGGCCTCACCTGACCTTACACCTACAAGACCTCAGCAATACCAATCTATCAAATCTATGTACTGGTAATACAACTCAGCACAACACGGTGTTCCAGCTTGAAAGAAAATAAATACAGTGATGAAACATTTGGCTTTATTTGCACTGATTGTAAGTAGCCTGTTATGGCTATCAATTTTCAGATTGATGTCAGAGGATTTACGTGGATGTTTGGTTGAGGCAAAAGCAAAGTAGACTTAAGAATAAGTGGAACTGAGCTTCTTGAAATTAAAACACAAAGTCAATATTTGGATTAATTGTGCTTGGTTTATTGTCAAAATAAGAATTTTGCCACTAAATAAATTGAATCCTTTGCTGTAGCCAACTTACCTCCAGCAATATAAATATGAGCAGCTGAAATATGATGGAAAGCAACAGTTTTAAATCCTGTGTGTGTGTGTGTGTGTGGGGGGGGGGGGGGGCTACTGTTTCCTTTAAAACCTTCTCTTTGGTGACAGTCTTTAAAAACTGTGCATCAGTTTCATTCACTCAACTAGACAAACTGTTTTCTGTGAAAATACAGAATAAATGCTGTGATAATTTGCCAAAGAAGCTGAAAATGACTTGTTAAAGCTAAGAGAAGCAAAATACTAGCTACAAATGTTACATGAGCCAAAAACTAAAAGTTGCAAAACAAAAGATATAATTAATAAAACTAGCTATAAACTAAAATAGCAAAACATTATTAAATAATAAAACTTGCAAAAAGGCAAAAGTAGCAAAACACTTGATAAAAATAATTCAACACTAGCGAGAAGTTAAAAGTAGCAAAAGGTGAGTTAATAAGTAAAAGTAGCAAAATGCTAGCTATAGCTAGTGGTAAAACATTAACTAAAATCTAAACATATCAAAAAGCTAGCTAAAAGCTAAACAATGCAAAAGCTAAAAAAAAAAAACATAAAAAGACTGGTTAAAATGAAAAATAAAACAAATCAGAACACTTGCTAAAGTCTAAGATTAGCAAAAAGCAGTTGACATCTCTTAACGAAACGAGGATGATGAGTTGCAACAACATTGAATTTCCCTTTGGGATTAATAAAGTATTTTTGAATTGAACTGAATTGAATTGAAGTATCAAAAAGCTATCTAGAAGCTAAAAGTAAAAAAAAGACAAGCTAACAATTAAAAGCAGCAAAATGCTAGCTAAAAATGGCACAGCACTAGTTAATCGAAAAGTATCAAAAAGCTAGCTAGAAGCTAAAGGCATCAAAAGTCTTCCTAAAATCTAAAAGTTTCAAAACAGTAGCTTAAAGCTCAAAGTAGCAAAAAATAGCTAAAAGCAAAAAGTTGCAGAATGTAGCGATGGGATATGGGGCTCTTTGAAGGGAGCCGGATCTTGTAGATCCGTAGAACCGTCCAATTTTGAAGGGGGGTGTCACTACACCTAGTGGTGTATGGCTTGATGTGTCGTGGTACCTCCCTCACATGTAAGGGCGGTACCGCGACACATCAAGCGCAGTAAACACGCCACCCTCGAGCTGCTGTGCTCCTACAATTTGCCTGTTCTCCTTTTGTCTCAGTGAAAAATGAGGAGTGTGTGGGTGTCTGCATTTGAGGGAAACGCACGGAAATCACAAGCAGAAAAAATAAACTACAAAAGAACTGTTCTCGATTGTCTGCAACTCAGTTCTCGTTGTTCGTTTTCGAGAGCCGTTCAAAGGATTCGGATCGTTCATGAACGTCACATTCCTAGCAGAATTGTGAGTAAAGTAGCAAAATAATAATAAAAAATTTAAAAAACTAAGCAAGTATGCTCAAGCAAGTGAGTGTGATTAGCAAGCGGCTATCAAGGCACTAACGGCCAATTAGGCTGATGGACCTCCTCATGTGAACAGCTAGTTCTGGATGTCAACAACAAACTGGTTGATCCACTGCATAGTTGCCAAGTCTGCTTATTATAAGCGACTTTGGGCTTGTTTTTTTTCTAAAGTCGCTTGCAAATCTTGTGAGTCACAGGTTGCGGTTTCTTGAGCTTATTTTGAACGTGAAGTCGCTTATTTGGGCTTGACTTTCGTTCCGAGTGAAACTAGTTGATTATCTCCCAGTTCCGCACAATGAAGCAAAAGACGAGTGGTAGTAGGTAGTTTGTCCCTTCCACGCCCCCGTTTCCTGATTATCACGCCCGCGCAAGTCTGCGAGGCAACAGGCGCACACATAGACATACAGACATGTACAAATACGTCGGTGGGCGCGCACCAACCAAACACTCATACTGTGACCAACCACTAGGGGGCTCCACTCACACGCAGATGTCAGGATGTTTTGTTTTTAAAAATATGTAGAAAAAATTACACATGCAAAACATATTTTTTTAATCAGAGCCTCAAAGTATGTTATTCAAAGTGTTTAGCAGAATTTTTGCTATTGTTTATGTGTAATTCCAAAATGAATATATGTTTATACTGTTTAAAAACAGCCTCTGTTTTACACAATGTGGTGGGTTGCCAGTTGGGCTTTTTTTTTCATAGCTTGTTGCTTGTTTCTATCGCAAGATCTGGCAACACTGATCCACTATGAGAAGGTGCTATTTATAAGACTGAGTGTATTACAGCTCCTCAAACTGGCAAAGTCTTTTGGATTAAAGACGAAACGTTTCAACAAGAAGAATCCGTCCAGAGGAGCTGACTTTACTTTGTTAGATATGCTGACGCACAATTCAAAGAGAGCAACGTTTTTGAAGGAATTGAAGTATTCTGTGAGAATACTGAATCAATATTCACACAATTAGCAAGCAGCTCGAATATTTGGCACACAATTAACAAGCAGCTCGAATACTTGGCACACAAAAGAGCACAATAACATTCACAATTGACTATTAGCCAGATTCTACAAACCAAATGCAGAAATAAAATAAAATACATCATGACAGGAAAATACTAAAGCCAGGATGACGGATTTGTTGAGCAGACAGAAAGACAACAAGATCCACCTGCTCATATGGCAGACGTGCCAAACAGACAAGCCCACAGATAAACTCCTACTCCTTTCAAAATAAGAAACTAATCAAATGGATTTTGCCATCTGGTTGCCTGGGCTCTGAAGCAAACCCATCAGCTCTAATCAGTGGCAGCCAATACATCTGAGGCAGACATGATTCAGTATATTCAGTTTACTAATAAGGGGGTCAGGATGAGCTATGGCTCAATCCTGGTGGATGCAGACAACAAATGCCGGGCAGGACCCAACTGTGCCATCCAGGCAGGAAGGGGTCATCTGTGTTTTGGGAGACCTGTTGGTCTGACAGAAGAGTTGACACTTCTGAACTATTAGGGTGAGTTTGTGCCCATCTCCAGCTGTCACTGTTATAGAGGCAGGGCGCACCCTGGACAGGTCTCAAGTCCATCACAGTGACTCCTGAACTACACTATCACAAATAATACTGACAAACGGTTTGTTTTTTTTATAACCTGCTCTGAAAGCAAAAGAGCAATAATGTTTTTGCCTGTGTGTGCATATGTGCATGTGTTTAACAAAACTCTCAATAGCAATCCGTGAATTTACATCTACAACTGGTTAACTATAGCTATTATAGCTAGTTGTCCTCAGTCAACACTTAAATGTTTTTAACGGTCAAATTTACAACAAAAAAAAGAGCTAAAATTTGATGTGTTAGTAGCTGAGAGTCATCCTCAACACACACTCTGAGCACCCACACATCTTGCACTATTTCAAGATGCTGCAACGTCATGAATGAAGCTTGACAAAAATGGTTAAAACTCCATCGCTTCTCAACGTAAGCTGCTCCTATTTCAGCACCGGCATACATTTTGTTTTTGTTTTTTGTCGTTTGTGTGTTTTTTTCAAGAAATATTGGGGCTTTAATTTCTTATTTTATTTCTGAATGTGTCAGGAAAAAAAGAGCATGGAGGAGTTTAGACAGATAAACTACGTCTTTAAGGCGTTTTTGCCTGTCTAATTGCGGTCCCTCGCAGATGCAGACTGTGACGCCAGACCTGAATATAGACGTATTTTCTACATCAAATTTTAACTTATTTTAGTCACAGATAATAATAATAATCAGATAATAATAATAATAATAATAATACAGTATTAAGTGCTGTGTGTTGTCATCATTGTATGTCCCCATACAATGGCGAACCAATCCACCCCAGGTGGATGTTGCAATGACTGGGGATTGATCCTAGGACCTTTGGGTTTGGGGTCGGCTGCTCTTCGGCTACCCCATCTCTGTGCGGCAAACACAATCAGAGAAACCGTATATTTGACCATCTATTGCGCAACAGCTACCTGGTCCTCCAGACTAAGGTTTACAAATAAATCATCACTCCTCAAATTTTTTCCTTTATCCTCTTTATTGGATTAACAGAAGCTCCTCTTTATTGGATTAACAGAAGCTCCGAGAGAAATGAACGCAGAAATAACATCAGTTATAATCATAAAAGAGTATAACTGTGCACAGTTATACTCTTTTATGATTATAAATTCTGATTGTAAATTTTATGGTTATAAATTATGATTATATTCACTTAAGGCACACCTGCACCTGTCTTGTCACGAGGACTCGTTTACAAGAGAGACCTGATTAAGACAGACAACAATAAACAACAATTAAAGTAAAAAATTGTATGACAAAAAAACATTGTTAGCAGCGTGGTCCTGTTAGCAGCGTGGTCCTATTAGCAGCGTGGTCCTGTTAGCAGCGTGGTTCTGTTAGCAGCTTGGTCCTGTTAGCAGCATGGTCCTGTTAGCAGTGTGGTCCTGTTAGCAGCATGGTCCTGTTAGCAGCATGGTCCTGTTAGCAGTGTGGTTCTGTTAGCAGCATTTTCCTGGTAGCAGAGTGGTCCTGTTGGCAGCATGGTCCTGTTAGCAGCAGAGCTGA